ATGTACTAACACAATAAATGAAACTTACTATATACAAAACAGACAATAAGATTAACACCACAGTAATATTTCACTATATTTTAAAAAATACAAGGAAAATTGAAATCAATCTCAAATTCTTAGACAGATAAAACTATTATAATTTAAATTTTGAAAATGTGGGCTGTTTTATCAAGTTTTTATTGGTGTGCAAATGTATTTATTTATTTTTTACGAGGGTTTGCAACAGCAGAGGTCATATAAACCCCAGGGTGCCGGTGTTTTTGAAAAAAAGGCCCATTTGTAAGTATGTCGGGTTTGAAGGCAGGGCCGCTGGATACGAACCCGGTACTTTTACCTTACCGTTGTGATGTGCGCCATGACAACGCCTAAACCGTTGCGGCCACTGATGCCCCCTGTGTGTGAATGTAATTTAGTAGTGTGAATGAAGAAGGAGTTTTTCCCCAATCACCTAAAAATTTTCAAATGTTTTTATTTTTTATTATATGTATAAAGTATTTTTTGTTTTTATATATTTTATCCTCAAGTGACAACGCCCTCTTTGAGGTAGAGAGAGGCTGGGAATAGGGTAGAAAAATTATAAAGTCAGGTATCTTAACATGCAAAACTTAATAGACAAATATAACTAGGCTGCAGCATCAGAAAAATTAATTATTAAGCAGAAAATGCAAAAAGAAAAGGAGGAGAACAGCAAACTCTCTATAATATATGTATACATCAAGTTTTCATTTAACCTCACCTTATGTCTCAGGATGAGATACATGTTGTGTTTCGTATTTTTCAACATTTCTATAATATTATGAATTTTCTCTTTTCTCTTGAATGATTTAACAGCCGTGCTCATTAAAGTTTGAACTTCGATGTCCAAGCAGAATGGTGGAGGCTCTGTTTCTGCGATATATTGAATGATTGAATATATAAACAAATTTTCTTTTAGGGTGGAAATGATTTTTGCATGTAGCACATTCTGCACAAACTTTTATACACTTGGCCCCTGTATTATATTGCCTTGGATAACTTGACAATGCTATGCCCCTCTTTGTCACAAAGGTTTGCCGTCATTTCTATACCTGCCTTTGTCTAATCTTACCACATTACTTCGTATCCGGGGGATATATTGGCCTTTAGCATTTTTACCGAAAATAATAGAGTCACAAAATAACCAAATCGACTAATACATTTTAACTAGTATCCTTAAATGAAGGATACAATCGAGTTAATTATGCCCCTTAATTTAACAGAGCTCTCAAAAGATGTATGCAATGTTAATAAACAAATTCGTTAGAACTTTGAATGTGAATTCCACGATTCTATAGAACAACTTTCACCAACATATTATAGTTGACATTAAAATCTCATATGACGTTCCGCGCTTTAACTTTAGCAGCATAATGTTGGTAGTTAACTGAAATCTTTTCATACATGATTTGTGAGGATTTTTGTAAAAATTACATGTTTGCCTTTGAGCCTAACAAATCCAAATCAAAATTCAAATCCAATTCATGTGTAAATCTTTTAATGTACATACAAGTAAAACAGATTTTTCTGATTATACAACTAACTCTCATTTATGCTAATTTAAATCAGTGCTACTTTCTATTTAATATACTCATAGACAAAACACGGACCCCCCCCCCCGGTTTGTTGTTTATTTCAAAATATATGTACGTATTATTATTATAATTGTTTCGCTCTTAATGCGCTATTATTGTTGTTTTTAAGGCGTTATTAAGAACAAAACCAGGTTATAATTTTTTTTTTTTTTAGTCTTGGAATATTCAAAATGTTTTTTTAATTGTATAAAATCGTTACGCTTTTTGTTTTTGATAAAATATATTGTTTGAAATGCATTGTATGTGCCAACTGTGTTGCACTCTCAACACGACACGCAAGAATGGCACAATTACGCAGAAAACAAACACTTTGAGCCCTGAAGATGATCTCAATAAAGATCGAAACGTTGGCACGATAAAGAAAATGTTTTTCTGAAACCTACATCACACCAAACCGCATCTCACGATTTCCGAATAAACATCGACTAACGGTCACTAATCACCACACACTATACAGGATGATGGATCGATTACGCCCACTACCCTAACCGAGTGAATGATATATAAATAAGTAAGAATGTATTTAAGTTTGAGTGAAAGTCTGGAATGGATTAAGGAATTGAATGCGTTAAGGGTTAAAATGACCTAGCTGTTGATTCCCCTGGTGCCCAAACTCGGCTGCTGGAACAGACAAGACTGTTTGTTAGTAAAAACTGACTATGTACATAAAAAATGTAATCTAGATGAAGCAATGTCCAAATAGTGATGACAATGATTAAAAATATTCGTCGAAATAAACTTTTTTTTGGAAGATGGCTTGAGTTTGATTTGACTCGATATAAATGATGCGATATTTTATTTAATTATTTATTACTATTATTTATTAATATTGCTCCCACGTTGTGACTGGCCCAGTTGCCTATTAGGTTTGTAGTGTTTAACCAGCACTTTTGCTGTAAGTCTTATGATGAAGCAAATAATGTCAGCCTTACGTATATAATTTTTCATAGGAAATTTTCGTCATTAGCTTTTCTGGTCACTCAGCAAAATTTGAAAATATAATTACATGCCGCTTGCTATATATCATTTGCAGTAATAACTTAAAAATCGCAAGATCGACGTTATATATCATAGCATATTTTACGAGCATAGGCTACAAAATAATTCACTTGATGCATTCATCGGTCGAAACGCAATATATTCCAAATCTTCTAAATCCGGTCATACGAGAGTGATGTGGCTTACGTCTCAGCTCACGTGCAACAATTTTTGCCGTGTCACTAAGGCCAATATGATGCCTTGTTGTCATGGAGATAAACGATTCCATTTCACTGATTCTGGCCGTTCATTCCATGATTTGTGGGCCGAAAGATGAGAGTTTGATCAAAACCGACTCATTCCGGAAGGGCTTTCTTTTCAATCTGATTCTATGTTCAAATTACGCGCCTTTCAAATAAAAAAAATATTTTCAAATAATAGTTCAATTAGGGGGCCAATTGAAATCGGATAGCATGATTCAATTCATCGTAAAATACTAATGGAAAAAATATTAATTTTTTTTGCGGGCGCCATTGAAATCATAGATCATTAAACGTTTCTACATTTTGCTAAAGTTAAATGTGTGACTTACTTAAATTATTCATTTTATTACAAGGAATTAATTATTATAGAATGGCTTAAAAAACATAAACCTTAAAACAGCTATCTGATCGTTTGGGTGGCAAAAAGAATTCTCGACCTGGAAAAGAACAAAGCAGACAAAACCGCATTCTTTTGGGTGCGAGGTCACTGAAATTGTGGTGACATGGTAGTTGATGGCCTGGCTAAGTAGAAGCACATCGAAAAGCCTTTCGACTACAAAACTTTATTGGCCTCAAAAAATAAAGGCATCTACTTATGTTTGTTAAAATATATAGTGCGCGTTAAACATACGAGATTTGAATATTAACTTATTTATGTTGTTATTGTTATTTACTTACTTATTTGTTTGTTTGTTTATTTATTGATCTATTGGGATCTTCTCTAGTTTACTTTGGGTCTTACACTTAATGATGGGGATGATTATGGGCGGGTGTCGCTTCTTTCTTGCTGGGTGAAGAAGGAGGCCTCCAGAGCAATGTATGTCCGTGCGTTTCGGAGATGTGAATTTTTTTCACTTTATTTCAATGTATGCGGTTTTTATCCACATCTCCGCTTAACGTTAACGAGAAAGATTATACTTAAAATTTGGATAACCAAATGGTAGGCCCACTGATCCACCTGGCTGGTTGGCTGCGTCCGGCTTGGTAGTCCTCTTGGTACCTGGGCGCAGTGTTGGGCAAAAATTAGTCATGACTAATGATTAATGATTGATCATTCAGACCGTTAGTCATGATTGGTAGTAAGTGACTAATTTAGTCATTAGTCACCATATGTGATTGATGGCTAAATTAGTCATGATTAGTAATTAAATACGAGGCATGACTAATTTAGTCACAATATAGTTAATCATGATTAAATTTCGATAAACCATGTTCAAACGGGTGCTCAAAAAATGAAAAATACACAACTTCATCACTTTTAATAAATTTTCTAACAGAAATTTATTTCATCAAAACGAAAATCCTTTAACACCTTATTTAACAAAAATCAATCTTCCAATTATAAGTAAAACTACGTTGTTATGAACATCCAAAAAATAATGATAATAATATTAAAATAAAATAAAATCTTAGAACAAGCTACGCTTTGAAACGTAAATATGTACATAACCGATTAATGGAAAAAGTATTTCTTTGAATTAAAATTTATTCCACTTGAAAGGAGAGATTTCTACATTATTTGGAAAAAAAACCTTGAATGTAATAAAATAGACGTATAGAATAATTATGTAACTTTGGTTTTTGTTTATGATAACACTTTTTGAATGTTGGCCTTGAGCACGACTCTCATCTCAAAATTTTTATCCGGAGTCTATTGGATTTTGGGAAGTTGGTCGTTCTAGCCAGAGTTGGGCAAAATCTAACTACTTCAATCATGATTAAGAATTTTGATTGAAGTTTAATCATGATTGAATTAGTCATGAGTAAATTAATCATTGTTTGATTTCGTCATACCTCATGATTGAATTAATCATGATTAAATCACATAATGATTAATTTACTCATGACTAATTCAATCATGATTAAACTTCAATCAAAATTCTTAATCATGATTGAATTAGTCAGATTTTGCTTGGGCGAAGGCATCCTCTACATATTCCTTTGTTCAAGCATTAAAGTCCGGTGGCTAATGCCGAAACTTAAAAAAAATTGTTATTTACTGCATCTGTGTCCTACAAACCTTGGTATTATTTAAAATTTTTAAAAAAGCCCGCGCTTTTCATCAATGAAAATCGTCGTTTTTTTCAATTCTTAGCTATTCAATAGTTTTTCAAACTCATGGTTTTCTTTTTTTCGTTTTTTCCAGAGTTGGCGGAATCTTCGAGAGGCGAGAAGTCGAGGAGCGAGCTTAAGAAAACTTCGGACTCTTACCCGAAGAACGAGCCGACGTTCAGCCTTGTGCTGGTCCTCGCCTTGACCAGCTGGATGTACTCATAACCCAACACCTCGAAACGCTCAGATTGTACATATGTATATTACCTTCGCTTGTATGTAAATAAGAGGATTCGACTTTGAAAAACAAAATAATGTTCAACATTTGTATATTGTTTATATGTAAACATCGAAGTCAGACACCAAGTGTGAAAACAAATTGAGATACTATTATGTTGGTATTTTATGTAGGTTTAATAAAAACGGTTTCTTATTTAATGAAAAAATAATTCAAATAAATTAAATAACTTTGTGGAGTTTGTTTTTGAACTCCAACTAAGCGAGAAAAGAAAATATTATCATTTTAAACAATAAGTATGTATTTTTGGCTTAATAATGTTGAATTTGTCTTCCTAATTTGACCTTAAATGTTTCTAATTCTTACTATTCATAAACATCGTTCCTAGAGTAGCAATGCTATCACACTTTATATACTTTCTACAAAAGATACTGTTTTTGTTTATATTCCGTGTCTGACTGCTTAAGCCTTTAAAGAAAAACGTTCTGCTTTATTTGTATCCCAAGTGTAAAAAAGCGCTGTTTTTTCAAAAATGTTCAAATTGTAAATTATCGCAAGATCCGTGACACGATCAACTCTATCTTTAACTTTCCGATATTTTCTTTTCCTAGACTGTCTGATATGTCAAAGTAAAACAGAACCCCCATCGGAAAAACGTCTTTGCGCCACAAACCGTATTCTGTCTTCCATCGTGGTTTGCTTGATGAACCTTTTCCCTTCGAGCTTGTCTGTATACGAACGGTTGAGAGCGCATCCAGCTGTAAACATTTTTTGTAAATAGGACACCCTCGGTGGATCAGTTCGCTTCGATTTTTTTGAAAATGTCTGTGTGTTGACCATGCTGATCTGTCGGACGGCTAACGAGTATAATAAACGTCATTATGAAAATAATGTTAGTGCCAAGGATAAGGTGTATAATTGTGAAATTACCAAACGAAAACGTGTACATTACTTGATATTTTATTAATAAATTTTCTTTAGTTTAAAACTGTCTTTTCATCTATTCCTTAACTAACTGAAGTCTAATTGTAATTAATTCACTAAATTCGTGGTCCGCTTGACCAATTAATACAAGACAATTAATTAAGGTTTTTAGTTGAGATGAAAAAAAGCTAATGGCACGAGAGGGATTCGAACCCACGACCTTCGGCTAGATACGCCGCTGTTCACTTGCTTCTACCACCAGGTGGAAGAACAGCGGCGTATCTAGCCGAAGGTCGTGGGTTCGAATCCCTCTCGTGCCATTAGCTTTTTTTCATCTCAACTAAAAACCTTAATTAATTGTCTTGTATTAATTGGTCAAGTGGACCACGAATTTAGTGAATTAATGATTTAAAAATGAAGTACACTTGACTAAAGCTCTCCGTCGCCATTTCTATTGTCGTCGAGAATCCAAACCGATTACACGACATTTGAAAAATGGCAAAAGGAGGGAAAAGTCATAAGGTGTGGTTGAGATGGGGAGTTGATGTCCGAGTGGATCGAGGTCACGATAGCTCAGGTAGGAGAGCAGCGGCGTATCTAGCCGAAGGTCGTGGGTTCGAATCCCTCTCGTGCCATTAGCTTTTTTTCATCTCAACTAAAAACCTTAATTAATTGCCTAATTGTAATTTAGAAAATATTGAGTTTGTAGCCATGTGAAGAGAGACTAAGATACAAAGAGAATGAATGGGTAAGTGATATTTTTTTTTACTTATAGTCACAAGATTTGACCAATATTGACCACTCTTACATCCAATGACACAAAAATAGAAAAAGAAGAGAAACAGTCAAACAGAAGACAGACAAATAGAGAAAAATAAAGAGTAAGAAAGGATGAAAGAAAACGACAAAACGGAAATAGGTAGATGAAGGGTAGGAAATAAATTGTCTTTTCCACAATAGGCCTATTGTGCATCGTCGTATTATGGAGTTCCACAAAATCAGAATAGACAACATGCAAAAATGAAAAAAGGGAGGTAGAGGTACTGAGAGAAGCTAAGAGGGTGTGAAAGTAAGAAATTGAACACATAATTATCATTCATTAATAAACATAATTTTTATTAGCCCTTTTCAAATACAATTTCCTAATAAAAAGTCCAATTTGAAAGACAACGTTCAGAACCTTCGACAAACATTCAAATAACATGTCCATTCTCTAAGGACTTTAAAAATATTATGACACATTTGCAAACATTAACTAATATGAATATTTATTTTCAGAATTTGTTTTTAAACCCATGGTTTCAAGTTCAATAAAAAGACATATTGACCGTTATAACACCGTTATAACATGTCCAATTTTCTATACCTAAATTTAATTATGATTTAAAATTTTAAAGTTCTGGTGAGAGTAAATACATATTCCTCGAACTTTTGACGAAGTTTTTCTTATTGCCCCAAATCGTTTTTTTGATATATAATTATATTAAATGTACTGCAGGTATAAAAAGAACTAAGAAGAAGAAGTAAGGTAGACATTTGTCAATAAATTATTGAATAGGTTTGTTTTTACAATGTGCGATATGAGCTCCCTGGTGCTAGTGAAATTTAAAAACAAGCTCTCTTGATGTAAATATTACGAAATGCGTCTGGCAAATGGAAAATTGCGGTTTAATTTACATCGTTTCAATCTTCCTCCTTTAAAAATGCAATAACATTCAAAATTGTACGAGGAAGCGTATCTACAGATTGCTTGGGAGGGCAGTTGAATAAAACAACACTCAAAGATAATTAAATCACCCTTGGGATAAGTAAACATGGGTGTAAAAAAAAAGCAAATTTATGACTACTCCTACGTGGGAGAGTGTGAAACGAAAAAATCTTTTGTTACTCTATTCATTGTAAATTTGTATTAGAAGAACGAGTTTTAAGCTCCGCCCAATGCTCTGAATTAACAATATAACTTTTTGAGTTATCGCAATGGTCAAGATGGGAGTCTGAAATTGCTGACAAATCTCATGAATATAAATCGATAGAGTAAGAACTACGTTGGATTTTGATGAGTCGGCGCATATAAAATTTGATACCGGTAGGCTTTCCTAGTTTTACAAAAGTTTAAAAATGATTGATTTCCAACTCAACATATGGAGGAAGTCAGGGAGATAGAGCGAAATAGATAGTAACAGGGAGAGGGGGAGAGGGAGAGAGAGAGAGAGAGAGAGAGAGAGAGAGAGAGAGAGAGAGAGAGAGAGAGAGAGTGAGCGAGAGAGAGTGTGTATAAAACCACATGTTTAACTTTTTAGCATGATGGAGGACTATAAATATTGTCATTATGATTTGAGAAGTCAATATCATCATCATATCCAAATCGGATATGTAGTTTCTATACCACCAAGACTACGGCCATGCACTACAATTTGAATGACATCTTGAATAATTCCCACTAATAAGCAAGGCCGGTTTGTAAGAAGACCAACGTCATTGTAGGGGAAACGTTTAGGCCAGTTTAGTTGTATCCTTTGAAAAAATAGTACAGAGTAGACACAATTATAGTTCAAGGTTCCAGTTCCATCTTAACTTCAGATATAAAATTTTTTTCCATAACTTATGCAAATTTGAGTGGAATGGATGCCGTTTTACCAAGTTCTTTCCTTTCGTTATCAGACTCTGCAGTGGGCCTTTATCCGACCAACTTGAATGGCTCCACCTAATTCTGTAAATCTAAGCAGATTACCTTTTGCCAAATAAATCACAGGAAGATGGTTTTTCAAATTCTTCAAGGAACTGAACGGAAACATTTCTACTTCTTATTTGTTCCAAAGCCATATAAATCAGTAATTCCTCGGGTTCATTCTACTAACCATAAATTTATCTTCTTCGAATGTATTTCTTTTATACGATAGATGACATAGGACGACGTACCAGGTAAGCCTTTCCAAAATAAGTCTATCTAAACCCTTGCATCATTTCCTAAGTCGTTTGTACAAAAGTTTTAATCATGTAAAATTCCTCCCGTTGATCTGGGACATCATGATTTAATTTTAACCGTGACGAATATACGTGTATTAAACAGCCGCACATCTCGTAAAATTGTCCGATGCCTCGGCTGTAAACTATTAGGGGTATCTCGATGCACGATGCCAGGTACGATTACTAAATCTTCGTATTAATTTTGAACCAAATTATCCAGCACTAGACATGACAATTAAATATTCTATCAAAGAATTATATAAATAGTATCAATTTATCAGTTTGTAATCTAATTCGTTCTACGTACTGATATTAAAATAAAATTGTTACAAAATAAGCCGTAAGCTGTAATTTCGAAGCAAATAAATTGTACAATAATAGTTATATTAACCGTAGAATAAGCCAGACATGTAGGGAAAGTTAGGTCGACGCGATTTACATAATTGAAAGGTGGCACCTTGGGCTGTATGTAGGGAGCGAGTAGGAATATATGAACTGTACATGAGCACAACGCCGGTTTCTGGATATTCTCTTTGTGGAAAACTATAGTCTTTATGTTGTACGTAATCCTGTTAAAGCTTAAATGTTTCTGTAGCTTGGTAGTTTTCAGTAATCTTTGGTTCAGTAGTTCCACCATCATCAGAGGTAGGTTTGAGTTGTCTATGTATTCCATAAGGAAGGAGTAATATTGGGGAAGTGCATACTACACTCTTTCCGAGCTACCTCGTTCGGTTCCTATAGCATACCGGTGAATCCTTGTTCATCAAAAGAGAAATTCTTCTACGGTTACGTTATACATCTCAAAACCCATCCTCCTGCGGTCAAACGTAGCGCCACAGTTTGATACTGGGTGTGTTGGTGTCCGCACTGCTTTTTTGCAGAATCTGCACGTGCCCTGTTGTGTTTTACGAATTTCCATTAAATACCCATTCAAATTGCAGTGTCCTGTTAAGAAACCTTTTAGGATTCGGAGTTTTCATTCAGTTCTTCCTTCCCTCTCCAATCTATAAGAAAACATATGATTCAAAAAGTGAATTTTTTTTCTTCTCTACATTAATGCTGAATATTGGTAAAAATTATAGATGAGATGATATATCCTGCTTGTTGAACAACTTGAACAAAAGGATCTTTAATGAGGTCACAACAGAAACGACAAATTCTTTAAGGCTTTGCCGAGCTTTCGACTATTGGGGAAGAGAGACTACTGGCAGAAAAGGTATATATAAATGTTACCCCAAGTTCGTACAATGTGCTGCTATGCTGTGGATAGATTGGGCTCCATTTCGGTTTATGGCGGTCCCGTAAACACACACAGGGTTTTGAACAAAAAGCGGGAACATAGAGTGCAGCCCTAGAGGCAAAAATTTTAAACTAGCCGCTTAGGCTTTGAACGAGTCCGTAGATCACTTGTAACGGAAAAGCCACCTGAGCCTCATGTCTCTCCCTTGTGTTGGAAGTTAACACTTGTATTTCTGAGTTAACTATGTATAGTACAATTTAAGAAAATCTAATCTAATCTTAACGGTGATATTCTAATGTACGTGAGGAAAAAAGTAATTTTATTATTTATTTTAAGAAAAAGAGACGTGTATTTATAGGGATGTGTAACCGAGGTAACCTATAGGACCATGTTCGTGGATTTAAATAATTTTTAAATTTTTATTTTATATTGTTTTATTGTTTTTAATTAACTCTACACTGTTCATTGTTTTAGATACTGAGCATCACCTAATTTTAATTATTATTATTACATATGCAGTTTCTTGCTCTCCAGATATAAAGATAAACACTCATCTAGTTAAAGTAAGATAAATAATTGTTTTTTGAAATTTTCTTTTTTTAAATGATATAACATGTTTCTAACTGCGATATTTTGCTAAAATAAATAGGCCCTGATGATGACGATTTAATCGTCGAAAGCTCGGCAAAGAGTTTGTCGATTCTGTTGTGGCCTCACTTTTGTTCAAATTAGTAAAAGTCTTTAAAAAATGATGTCTAAGTCTCTACAAAATTCACAGACTGCAAAAATTAATTCAGATATTTTTCAATAAGA